CATCACGATTTGCCCGGGTTGGCTTGGTCTTGTATTGTCTTATTATTTCATAGCTAAGCAATTTCTTGTCATGTCACTTATTTATCAGATCCCGGACCCTCTGCGACTTCTGGTCGGTCATGCTCTGGAGTTTTTTTCAAAATCATTCAAAGCGAGAACCCTACCTAAATCCTTCCTTAAACTATAATTGAGATTTATGAACTTACATAGCTTACGCCTCTCGGTATCGTAACTTTCTTCTAATTTCTGCATGGAATCGTGATAAAGAATTTCATTCACTGTGTCCGAATGACATTTCCTCATTAGGTTACAGAATCGGGGAGCGAAACCATAATGTTTGCAACAATTCAAAAAGGCCAAATTACAGGATTGACTTACAATTGTCTTCTTTGCCCAGCTGTAATCAGTGCATTGTTTGGCAATATTACTTCGATATTTGAATCGAAGGTATGAAGACCAAGATTGTGTGGCCTTTTTATTATTGAATAAAAATTGTAGTCACCCTATCGATGTCTTAACTACGCCATGCCTCCGCGAGTGGTCCTGCCTAAAAATAATCTTTGGTAAATAGAGCTATGCGAGATTGGATGGGATCGTGAGATCTAATCTTATGATTGTAGAGAGGTTCAACTACCAGACCTTCCTCGTATTATGCGGCCTAGGGTGAATAAGACTCTTACTAATGATTTATTGGTAGTCCTGAAAATTTGGTCTGAATATTTCTGAATAGGAACTTAGTCGGCCTATATCCCAGTCCATTGCGGATGAGATGGCCTTTTGGCAGTACAGGTTATAGTCATTCTCCGTCGCTTACAGTGTTTATAAATTCCACAATGACATTTGGATGGGAATTGCTTTTTTCGCAGATGAGGCTAAAGGAAATTCAATACAAGCCTGAGGCTTATTTATGTGATTTTATAGAAAAAATGAACCATCACCACAAGCCCTTCAATCACCTTAACCGACCCGGACCAACTATCTTCTCAGTAGAGAATTAGTGATAGAAGGGGGGCTTATAGGCAGGACTGAAGAGATGACTTGGACCGAAACCTCGAGACAATCTCGAAAAGCTCGGTTAAAGACCATTTTGGGCGGTGTCGCCGAGCACATGAACAAGCGAATTTTCGGTCATCGAGTCAGCAGGCTCAAACAAGTCGTATGACGGGCACGCGTCTCCATCGCGATTCAACGTCAAATGACCAGACCTCAAAGTCTCAGCCCTGGTGCATAGTTATGGGTTTCCCTTGCATGAGACTGTAAAAAGAGGCTGACTTACCCTACACAGCTTCGTCCGTCTTGCCTCCTGCCTTCAGCCGTCAGTCGTGAACACTGATTTGGCCTGTTCACTCGCCACTTTTATACTCTCCAGTCAGGATTGTGAAGGCCAGCGTCTGGAGGAAGAAGGCAAGCCGGACAAGTGGGCACGAGGTGGTGGATACGAGGCAAAGGGAGCTTCGGCAAAAAGGCCGGACCTACAGGAAATGTGCTTTTCCTGACATCAGCCACATAAAACGGGTCTCTGGGCCACGGAATTGTACAGGAAGTACACCTGAAGCGGAGAACAGTCAATTAGGCCGCCGTTACGCCTGATGGCCTGTTCAGCAGTGACAGGCTGCAGAACAGGGCAGAAAAGGAAATTGACTGAGACCGGCTCCTCCCTCGCTCTTTCTTCCCCTCAAAGTCCACCGCAGAAAGGCCAAAAAGATCGTCTGCCTGACTGGGAGTACAGCATTGTCTTCTGCCGCCAGCCCAAGAAGCAACATGCTAGTAGGTTATTTCTCAACTGCCGATTCCTGATCGAGCAGGCAGGCATCCGACCCGCCGGACTCCTTGACCTCCACCCTCAAAACTTCTCAAGACCGACATTTACAAGGAATTTTTCTCTTAAATAGGTTGACAAGACTCAGTAAATTAGATATATGAGATGTTTTCACACTATTTCTTTAAAGGTGATAAGGACTGGTAGTTGATTTTTCCCACAATCATATGAGTAGAGCTGACTTTTCCATTAAAGTTTGCAAGGCTTTGCTTTCCAAAAAGGTGATATCATCGAGGGTAGTCTGCAGTTTCGACCTTGCAGAGGTCTTATCAACTCTCCCAGCGGGACTCGGAAGCTTGAATATAGTTATAAGGATGATGATAAAAGTGATTTTCTCGCAGGCAAGGTCAACAAAAATGTTCCAGTAAGGCTAATCGACAAGTGGTCAAGAGGAATTCGCCGTCACCTTCCAGTGAAATCGATTTTCTAATCTCTTCTTAAACAATTTCACTGGAAATGGAAGTGAACTCAACAATTAAGCCCACAAGAGATAACAGAAAAAGTTCGCTGTCGAACGTGAACTACGGCTAGATTGATCAACCGGGTTAGAAAAACTATTCGGATTTGCCCAAACTAAGGAATATCGCCTTCCCGTTTCAATACCTTCAAAAGTGCATTAAGCTCTTTCTCTGTTAAGATGTTCACATACATGGGCTATACCCCAGAGTTTACCAATAGTTCGCTACCCTCCAAACTGGTGACTTTGATTGTCAAAATTCATATGAATTCTTCACGGCATTCGATATTCTGTCTTTCAGTTCATTTAATTTGAGGCAGGTGAATTTCAAATGTTCGTGTGTTATTTCGTGTTTATTATTGACTATCAACCCCAGTTGAAACCCGTGTGAAACTAGCGATTCTGCATCCTTACATAGTAATGAATTCATTATACGTTAGTCATTTTACAGTTCGCCTTCATTTCCTTGAGCATTTCTTACAAGACCCCTTTGATTTTAACTGTTGCGTCTTTTGCTAGCAGTAGATAAGTTGTTGCCCCCGATAATACTCCTACTTTCTCTATATATACCTTTCTGTAGACCACTCGTTTTTTGTTTGCTTGTAGGACTATTTGTCGAATACTTATCAGGTTTCCTTACATTATATCAATCCAAAGCGAGCTTTTGATACGCCAAAATAGCTGGGATGATTTCAATTTCAAACTACGAATATATTCTTAAGTAACTTTATTTGTCCAGGCTCGAGTAAGACTTGAACTACTGGCGAGACCTGGGCTGGATGAGAAAACTTGCTGGGCGCAAATGTCAAGTGAAATTTAATGGCATCTTCTTAAGCACCATATGGAAATAATCTTTTACCAACTTATCTGGCTGTCGGCGTTGAATAACTGCTGATGATGAAGCAGAAGAGCCTATCCAATCATCTGCATGACTTGGATTGTTAAGATCAAGTCAGTTGCCCTCCACATTATAGCGATTTAAGCACGAGATTCCTAAACGTTCACCATCTAAGCCAGATCAGGGCCTAATGCTAAAACTGCGTGTCTAGATCAACCAAGGAAGAGGGAAATCCTCCAAAAGCTGAGCTGTACAGTAGTCAGCAGTATGAATGCCTTTTGCCGGATCAATGAGTACAGTAAAGTTGCCCATGAGCTAGCCAACATCCATCTAAACAAAGAATACTATTTTTGTGAGTAGGTTGTCGGGAGTACCAGTAAAACAGATATGAGTCGTGTGTAAGGTGATGAAGGACTGGTAGTTGATTTTTTCCACAATGATGTGAGTAAAGCTAATGTTTCCATCGTCTCAAAACCCTACTTATAGACTAACAATAAGCGATGAAATCGATTGTCATAGCAAATACGACTTTGCATCATCGACAATCCAAACAAAAATGTGATATGGGAAAATGTCTGGCCTGCCTTGAAATTCACATCTGACT